CGCCAAACCAACTCCTGGTCCGCCGAACCGGAATCTTATTTTTTTTTCAAAATTTTCTTCATGTCCGCGCTGTCCAGCTCAGTCCGCCTGTGGTTGGTCCGCCGCTGACCACTCCTGGTCCGGCGGACCAACCTCTTTTTTTTTATTTTCTTTTTGTTTTTGTTTTCTTCATTCCTTCTCGATCCTTCCCGCGTGTGACGATCTTCGTGCCTTTCCTCGGCATTGTACTATTTATTTTGGTGATTTCGTGACATCCCTATTTAATTATTTATATTTAAATAATTAAATATTCAATTCGGGTTTCGGGGTATTACACCTAGAATGCCTACAAATATGTAAAATAGAGTGAAATGCGCTAGACATCCTACATCAAAACGTCACCCAAAATACGTGTTATCACGTCAGCCTCTTCCCTAATCCTGGTTTCAATCAGTCCACCGATTAGGGGCTTGTGCGAGGCTATCCAATTCTTTATAGTCCACTGCCTAACGCTGCTGTTCAGGCCCCGGACGTTCCAACAAAATAACTTCATCTATTTATCGCTGATTCAAAACAAAATCTGCATGGGATCGTGACACGTTCACTACAAAAAAACAGTCTTTTAGCAACGAAAATTTTTCGTTGCAAACCTACAAATTTCGTTGCAAAACACGGTTTGCAACGAAAAAAATTTCGTTGCTAACTCGTCGTTGCAAACCAATATAGCGTTTCAATTCGTTGCAAATTGCAACGCTTTGCAACAAAATTTTTTCGTTGCTATTTGCAACGCAATTATTTCGTTGCAAAAGCGTTGCAAAGCATTGCAATGCTTTTGCAACGCAATTTCATTGCTAAAATTAATAGAAAAATAAAAAAAATAATTTAAAATTTCAGATTTTTTAGAAGAATTAAATTAAAATTAAAAAAATAATTAATTAAAAAAATATTAATAAATATAATATAAATATTAAATAAAGATAATATAAATATTAAATAAAAATAATATAGATATTAAATAAAGATAATATATATATATATATATATATATATATTTGTAGAATTATAAAGTTTATTTAAAAGTTATAAATTAAGGTTTATAAATAAATAATTAACAAAAATAATAAAATAAATATTTAATAAAAATAATAAAATATATTTTTATTTGATTTTTTTTAAGAGTTGGGGATAGAGAGAGGTTTTAGATAATTTTTAGAGTGAGAAATTGTTGATGGATTGTGTTTAGATTGTGTTTGGATGTTGAATATATAGAAAAACATTGCAACGCAATTTCGTTGCAAAAAGCGTAAAAACCATAATCAATCATAACCACAAATTTATTTTAAATTTGCAACGCAATTTTGTTGCTAATTATAGCAACGAAATTGCGTTGCAAATCTAATTAACAACGAAATGACGTTGCAAATTTCTGTATTTATTTTTTCGAAAGTCAAATCATATTAATTTAAATGATAATATTTGCAACGAAATTGTTGCGTTGTAACGCGTTGCAAAATTCGTTGCTAATTTGCAATGAAATAATTTTGCAACGATTTTGCAACGCAACAATTTCGTTGCAAATTAGCAACGAAATTTTTGCGTTGCAAAATCGTTATAATTTTTTTTGTAACGATTTACCAAAAATTTTTGCAACGATTTTGCAACGCAAAAATTGCATTGCTAATTTGCAACGATATTTTTACGTTACAAAGCGTTGCTAATTGTAGTAAAAAAAATTTGCAACGATTTATCAACGATTTTGCAACGAAAAATTTCGTTGCTAATTTGCAACGCAATTTTTGCGTTGCAAAGCGTTGCAAAATCGTTGCAAAAATATTTTCGTTACAAAACGTTGCTAACTTTGCAACGAAATAAATTTCGTTACTAATTTCACTGATAATTGAATGTTTTTTTGTAGTGGTTTGACAACCGCGACCATTTCCCTTCTGACCCCTTCTTCTGATTAGGGGGTCTTCTTGGGTATGAACTACGGTTGCGCAACGAGAACAAAGTAATCTCTGAGCTTCCACAACGTGTTTTTCCACAGAGTGAGAACAAGACTTGGGAGCTGGATTACTTGGCAAAGAGGCACTTGAACTTTGACGAACAATGTTTGGTGAAGATGACGTCGGGTCAAGAGTTTCTTTATTTTTTATGATGGGTTGTTGCTGCAGAGGATGAGAGGCTTTCTGAGAAGGTGGAGAAGCAACAACTTGTTGCAGAGGGGGTAAAATGCTAGTTACTGTCTACGGGATATTTGGGGGTGCCGACTCTTGTGGGATAGCCTGAGTTGATGTTTGTTCAGCTTCTGGTTCCGAGGAGCCTGCCTGGGTCTGAGGAGGTGGGTCAATATTCTTTGAGGGGCAATATTGTTTTTTAATGCCCGAACTCATTGCAACATAGGCAGCTCGGTGGGAACCACTCGTAGTCAATTTTCACTCCGGTCACCTCTCCGGTGTCATCTTCAATTTCCACGATACTCGAGAGAGTTGAGCCCAACTGAATTTCTACCTTGATGCGAGTTGTCCCGACGTGAAGAGGGTCAAGGCGCATCTTATCCATGTGCAAGGGTTCTCCTATCCCGCTTGCAATATAGTTGATTCCTTGGAGCGAGAATATCTCTTGGGATATTCTACAGAGTTACCCAGATCGGGGCAGATTTGAGAGAGGGTTTTCGGAGTGATGAGGTCGGCGTCCATTCTGAGAGGGTAAACATTATGTCTGCGATCCTCCAGATACCAACCTCGAGCACAAAATCATATGTGGCTAGATCCGGAATGAAGAAGAGACATGTCGAGTTACATGTTCGTCGGACTGTGATACGAGACTTTTGGCCCCCATATCGGATTTAGGGACTGAAAGATTTTGGAGGCTTGAGGGGAGATTCCATAAAATTGCCCGACGAGGTAACCAGCCCAGGCTTTGGATGCCTCGCGAAAGACAACCCTGGGGACTTTAACTCGTGGAATACCAGAAGCAGAGTAAGTTGGAGCCAACCGAGAGAGGTTACGGGAAGACTTACGAAGATGTTCTGCCCACTGGAACCGCTCGGTCTGCATCGTAGAAAGGGCTTCCACTGTAGGAGCCGTCGGGAGTTCAAGAGCACTTATGTCCTAGTGCTCTAGTTGGAGATCCAGGAGTTGTGCTCGGCTTTGGCATGAGGCCTTAGCTGCAGAGGACGTGAGAGATGGGAAGTCCTGAGGAAGGAAATTCGGCGCATCCGGCGCCAAGGTTCGAGTCTCTGGAGGCGGAGTGGCGTTCTCTTGTTAAGCTGAGCTGTTCTTCGGGTGTTCATCGCTCGGTTGAGTTGTGACAGATGAGGAATCAGAGGATCCAGTGGGAGATTGAAGATCTGGCTTTGGATCTGTTGGTTCGACGGCAGTGGCGATGAACTTAGGTGGAGGAGATTTGGGTTGCCCCCTCCTAGTCATCCTGGAAGACTGGGGAGCACGCGACGGTTGCGAGGTTTTTTTCCGGCCGGCAATGGACAGTCCGGTTTTAAAGCGGTGGAGGTTCAAGATTCTAGGGTTCACCTTCAGAGGCGACAGTTGCGAGGTTTTCCTCGAATTGACCTTTTTCATCGTCTCTATTCTTACAATGTTCTTCCCAAGAGAAAAATGTTAAGAGATAAGGCTTCTTCAGATCTGGCTGGTGGTAACATCCATTACGATAGATGTCACTCTGGTATTTTGTGGGATCCCCAACCTACGTGGTCGGGAGGAACCGAAGAAATTGATCAATGGGCCTAGAGACGACCATCTGTCGAACCAGAACTAGGTATTTTTACCATTCCCTAGCCCTGAACAGATGTAATTTCTGGCCATGTTCCTAGCTTTGAGCAATAGGATTAATTCTCCTCCCTATCGTATACCACTAATACAATAACTTTTAATAAAATTTATTATTATTTTAAATGAGATTTATTGATTTATAATGAATTAATAGATAAATTAAAAAATATAATTATGAAAATGTTATAATAAAATTAAATTAAGATTTTAAAATAAAGTTAGAGAAAATAAAATGGTGAGAGAAATTTGGATAAATTTAATTATTTTTTAAAGAAAATTAGAAGAACACTAGAAAAGAAAAAAAATTATAATAATGATAAGATTGTAATATAGAGATAGATAAAATAAAATGGTGAAAGAAATTTGAACAAATATAATCATTTAAAAAACATAGAAGAATAATATAATTATACGATTAGATTCAATTTATTAACCAACCGGCGAATTTCTATTGGATAATTTAGATGTGATTATTATTAAGGGTGGGTATTTTGGACCAAACCGAATCGAAAATAAAGTATTTTTTTCGATTCGAACCGTTTAAAATTTCTGAACGGTATTTTTTTTTAAAAAATCGAATTTTCTGCAACCGAACCGAATTTTAAAAAATCCTGAAAAACAAAAAACTTTTCATTATTTTTTTTTAATAAAAATCGGAACCAAACCGAACCAGAACCGAAGCGAACATAATATAAAAACCGATTGTTATCTACTTTTATAAAACCGAACTGATACATTCCCGTCCCGAATACGAACCGTTTTTCAAAACGCTTACCCCTAATTATAACCCCGAATTATTATTGTTTTCATTCTCATGTAAAATATTAATAACTTTGCGACTCTTCCATTTATTAACCGGGATATGGCAACAAAACAACATAACTTTTCATATATATATATATATATGTATAATTAATAATTAAATCATTTTTATAATCTCTTTATAAAAAATACAAAATCATTTCTTATCGACAAAAACAAATCATTGACATAAACATTATACATCATCTATATAACGATACTTTAATCTTACACAATATAATGCAATTTTATAGATATATTTTTTTAATAATAAACAAACAATCTATTTATTTTTTTTACCACATTTATATCAACCAAATGTTACAATAAGATCATAAATAATCTGGGCCTAGTAATAAAATAATTAAATAAACTTGCCTAGCGGTGGACAGTTCTAGGGTATAATTATTAGTTAGTAAAAGAATCCTCTTTTGGCGGGAGTATTCCCAGAATTTCTCCATTTCAGGCTCTTCGTCTCCCGCAAAACCCTTTGCTCTCCCATTCCTCTCCCTCTCTCTGAAAATGGTTTGCGGTCGCCGGATAACAGCCTCGCAGGCCGGACATGTCTGTGCGACGATGGAAGAAGAACTCGGCGGTGGCTCGACCATGTCGGGCGATTCGTCTCCCGAGTCGGAGGTGAAACAACTGCGTGGACGTTGGGAATTGGCCTCTGCTCTCAATTTCTTAAATGTAAGATTCTCTCTGAGCTTCTCCGCAGCTATAAAGAAAATGTCAGGGGTTTTTTTTTGTGGATTTGTGTGTGCACGTTATCCTTGGTTTCGCTGCTCTGAAGAATCTCCGTGGTTCCTTACTAGTATTTCCCAGATGCTTTTAGGCTTTTGTACGAATTCATGGGTAACTGATTGTGCTCTTGTTCTGTATAATCATGTGGAAACGCTAACTATATTGGGTGATTCAAAGTGAAAGGCTCTACCAATTGATTGTTTGGCTTTTGGGTTTTCATTAGAGATTTTGTTATTCGGACAGGTCTTTGAACCAGTTATCGCGGATGAATTGAAGCTAACGGCTGAGGAGATTGAGACGGGTCTCATCGAATCCAACAATACTAATGCTCGGCTTCACATTGCGCTTTTGAAGGTTACAAGTTCATTTCTAACTTCATTTTTCCTCTCCGGTGTGATTGTTTGTCTCTTTGTTACGGAGCTTAATGTCTCTGTAGTGTTTCGGCCTTCTGATGGTTGCCCTAAGTGGTTGTTCATTGTATTCAATATTTTCTGAATCTGGATTTTTCTCTTGTTTTTCTCGCGTCTGTCTTTAGTGTAGCTAACAAGACTTTCAAATCCTTCTTATCAGGGAATACCGCCTGTCAGTAAATCGCTTGAGGATTCGGATGCTTGGATCACTGTGTTGTGTAAGAAACTCACCCCGTGGTGGCCATGGGTAAGGGCTCGAGGAACCTTTGGAAGAGATTCTCCTTGTATAAACCCCCCTTGAATCGTGGTATGATTTTCATAACGCTTCTGGTTTGCAGATTGCTGAGGGTGACATGCCTATAACCGCAATGAAAGGGTAGTGATGAAGCAACCTACCATTTGCATTTAAGATTTTAGTCGTGTTTGAACTGGAATCAATTGTACCATTTTCTTTCTATGGCATTGCTAGGGAAGAGATATCGGAATACCAAGGGCTTGACCCTACTAATCGCCTATACATTTTGAAAGCACTTTGCGAGCTTCGAGCTGAAGTAATTTCTTGTGCTTTTTCTATGTTCACTTGCTTTTGTAGTTCAAATGTTGAAGATTATTGACTGCATGGCAGCTTGTTTGAGGTCCTCTTACAGATGTTTTGCTACTTGCTTTTGTTGTTTTCCTTTCTAACCGCATCTTCTTGATTTTTGTGGTGGATGATGTAGCAAGATGACGTGCTCTCGTATATCAATGATAATGTGAAGCAAGGTACCCAAGTTTCGTTCTTTCGCAAGGAGAAGTTAGGAGGAGATGGAAAGAAAATTTCCTATTGGTACCAACTTGGCTTCTTGCTTCTTTCCATTTTTCACATTGTGCATGCGTGTCAGTCTTTTTTTCTTCATTTTTTGCCATTCTAGGTTTGATGGTAATGACATCCAGGGCTATAGATTATACAGGGAAGTCACTGAAACTAATAGAAAGACTAACAGAAGGAGAAATAAGTGCTTAGCGTTGTCTCCTGGAAGTTTCCACTGGGAAACATTAGCAACCAATCTTGAGGAATTTTACATCGTCTCGGTAAGAGTTTTGTACTTGTTTGTGCTTTTGTGGTTTACAAGGTACGGAATTTCTTCTTCTTTTTAATCATCACCCCGTAATGGCAGAAAGAACTCTCGTCAAGCAAATCTTCTGCTTTGACTGCTACTGGCCAAATGATTGAGAACGATGTCATTCCCCTTGTGGAGAACCTTCAGAAAGTATTCACATTTTTCTTTAGCTACATCCTCAGAATTGATTCTTTCAGTTCTATGCATATTTTCTATGCCTCGTACGTGACTGAATTTTCATTTCATTTTGCAATTATAGAAGAAAGAAAGGGTCTTGAAGAAGAAGATGAAGCAAGAGATGCTCGCCAAAGTGTCAGCAAATATATGCTATCCTACGCGCACTACCCGTCCTTGTCGTAATCGCACGCCTGCTACGTACACCTTTGGTGCTGTCATCTTTCCTTTCATGGCTTCTTGATTGGTCTAGTATTACGATTCAGCAAGGGTTACTGATTGGATAGTTCATATGCAGATGAGTATGACAGGATGATCAGCCAGGCTGTTGAAGAAACAGAGTAAGATACTCTTTGTCATTCTAGCCTTGTTTCTCGGTACAAAAATTCTGTTCTCTTGTAATCTAAACTAGACCTGTGATCAATTGATCTCATCTGTCCTGTCGTAGTATTTGCAACTTGTCATAGACCCTTTTAGTTTTTATCACAAGAGAAAATGGTTCAGGTAAAATTACAATAGACAAAAGAGTGTTCATAGTCATACCATGATTGCCCACATGTTCCAGATCGTTGTCTGCGGTCTCTCCCATAATGGATTGTGTTGTTGGCTGTAAGAGACTTGAATCCATCTATACAGTTGGTTTATCGAGCATTCGGGTCTCATTCGCATATTGATATATCTCTAGATCCCTCACTCGCATATTTTCTAGATCTCTGGCTGTTATTTTTAATATGTGCCAAATCTCTGTGGTTCAGCGAATCAGATGGAGATAATGAGCAGAGAAGGAAGCGGAAGCCTGAGCAAGAAGAGGATGAAGCACCTGAAACTGATAGTGGCGAAGACTCGAAAGAAGGCTGCTACAATGGAAGAAACAATGATGAAAGTTCTGATAGGGACCAAAACCGAAAAACGAGTGCAAAAAACAGGTTGAGGCAGAGACCGACGAGGAACTCAGCCTTGTTGCAGTCTGTTGTGGTGCTTGACTCCGAGGAGGACGAAACTTAGGAAAAAAAACACAGTAACCAAGAGAAGGAGCATGACGTTTTTTTGAATCGGAAACTCCCAGCCTGAAGGATCTCTCACAATTCCCAGTTTCTTTTATCCGCAGATGGAACAAAAGGCAGCTTTGTGTTCATTACTTTTTGATGGAAAGGAAATTAGAGTTTTGTTTTTGTTGCTGCAAAAGCCAGGGGGCGTAGGAGGATGTTTAAATATTTGTAACAGTGTTTTTCCTTACCGGCATTTATATATATCGCTATTAATTTCTATGAAGATTAGTGAGTGTCATTATTTTGTTAGAGGTCATCCTGAATGTTGAGCGTTTTCCTGTTGGCTCTCCGCTTGTTACAGAGTGGCAGATGTTTGTCTTGGTTTGCTCTGTGTTTTGGTGTCCGGACATTTAAAAGAGCGTGGAGCACCAAGAGAGCGAGAAACGGGAAGTCCAACTATATCTACGGACTTGGCTCTTCGGATCGTGGAGCTCGTTACCGGTCCAATGGGCGGTTACTGATGGAATTCCTGGGATCTCTAGAGCGAATCATATTCCTAAGAGATCGATTTTAGGGTTGTGCAGCGGATATAAAACAAAAATTTGAATAAAACCCTAGAACCATGCTTCTATGAATCGTAGAAACGTTAGAACGTTTACTTCAATCGATCCGGGACCTCTACACGTATCTACACCTCGGGATGGATTCCAACGGTTGGAACTTGTCTGCTAGGACCCGAATCAACAATTCGGTTTCGCGCTTCGAGAAAACGAGACTTGGAAACTCTTAGATCTTTTGGATCTCATCAAAAGCTGTCAAAAGTCTGTACCAGACGGCTCCAAAGTCTATCTATTTAATTAGGGTTTTAATCTCCTTATAAGGTGATTTAACCCTAATTCGGTCTAATTTTCGAAAACCCGAAAGCCGAAACGAACGGTCCAGGAATGCACGTAGACCGTCCGTTCCAGCAAGCCAGAACGGACAGTCTGCCTTCTGCGGACCGTCGGGTCTGGCCCTTTCGGTCCGTCCGTTCCAGCCCCTTCCGTCTCGGTTTTTCCGTCGTTTTCTCGTGCGTGTTGTCCTTCCCTGCGTGTGTGACCCTGTAGGCTCATTCGATATAGTCAGTATAACCAGAAATCTCTATTTCGGATATACAAGTCATAGGCGGTCTCTAGCAAGACACTATGACTACCTATCTCGAGTAGAGTTTTGTTCGTGATCTTACGAACGCCAGTGATGATTCCGGTCGATGATCCTTTTGTATCGCGATATCATATGTCGAACATAAGGCATGGACAAACCACCTTATCTAATTCGACTGCTTACTCGTTCACTAAGTTCGACTGTCTGAAATAGACGATGCTCGTCTATAGTGCGGCCACACATTCCTACAGTCTCGCTCACACGAGTGGCCCAACAATATCTCTCTCTTTTACGAGAGGTACAAATCTCGTCTTGACTATCTACAATCCAGCACATGATTCGTTTCGTACTTGTAATACGCCTTTATAGTCCTCCTGTTACGCAGGACGTTTGACGTATTCAAAGCACACAACTCCTTATGTTGGATTCCATAGATATCTCAGGTCTTACGATCCAATCATGGAACCGCCATATGAGATTCAAGTCATGACGCTAGTCCATGTGACAATCTCATGCGGGTCAATCCAGTATTCCGTTCTCCAACGAATACCTATGACTGTGATCGTATCCAATACCTATGATCATCTATATGATCATCAATCACACATCATACTAGTCTTAGTATATCATTATTCCCACAATGATACATGACTAGGGAGTTTAATATTGTTCATAACAATACATAGATTTCACAACATATCTAGTATGCACAACATGTAATGAATCAAACACTTTCATAAAACTATAGAAAGTATCAATACATCAAATGTATCCAAAGAAAGCTCACAAACAGACATCATAGAGCACTAAACCAACAATCTCCCACTTGCTCTATTCATGGACTGCTAAACATCTATTGCCCATATCCCTAACATGACCCTCATGCTTCGACGAAGGGAGAGGCTTCGTCAACGGATCGGCAATGTTGTCATCTGTCGACACTCTGCAGATGTGCACGTCTCCTCTGTCTATGATTTCTCTGATAAGGTGAAATCGTCTGAGTATGTGTTTGGATCGTTGATGGGATCTAGGTTCTTTCGCTTGCGCGATCGCTCCATTGTTGTCACAATACAGAGCAATGGGGCTATCAGCACTAGGAATAACACCCAAGTCGCCAACAAACTTCCTGATCCAAACAGCTTCCTTTGCTACATTCGACGCTGCAATATACTCAGCTTCTGTAGTAGAATCTGCAACAGTCGCTTGCTTGGAACTCTTCCAGCTAACAACGCCTCCGTTCAAGCAGAAAACATAGTCAGACTGCGATCTATAGTCATCCGGGTCTGACTGGAAACTAGCATCGGTGTAACCCTTTACAGAGAGCTCGTCTTCTGACCCACCGTATACCAAGAACACATCCTTAGTCCTTCTCAAGTATTTTAGGATGTTCTTGACGGCGATCCAGTGTGACTCACCTGGATCTGACTGGTATCTACTCGTAATGCTCAATGCATAGGATACATCTGGTCGAGTACAAAGCATGGGATACATGATCGATCCAATTGCCGAAGCATATGGAATATGATCCATGCGTTCTCGCTCATCAGGTGTCGTAGGACACTGACTCTTTGAAGAGAACTGTGCTACTGCTCATCGGTAAGGTTCCTTTCTTGGAATCTTGTATCGTGAACCGTTTCAAGACCTTATCGATGTAAGTATTATAGATCTTGATGCCTAGAATATAGGCCGCTTCTCCTAGGTCCTTCATAGAAAACTGCGTTCCTAGCCAAGACTTTACGTCTTGCAAGGTAGGAACGTCATTCCCTATAAGGAGAATGTCATCCACGTACAACACTAGAAATACTACTATGCTCCCACTGACCTTCTTGTAAACACATGGCTCGTCTTCGTTTTGTTAGAAACCAAACCTTTTGATTGTCTCATCAAAGCGAAGGTTCCAGCTCCTCGAAGTCTGCTTCAGTCCATAAATGGACCTCTGAAGCTTGCACACCATCCTCGGGTTCCTTGGATCGACAAAACCTTCGGGTTGTGTCATGTACACATCCTCGGTCAAGTTCCCGTTAAGGAACGCGGTCTTGACATCCATTTGCCATATCTCATAGTCGTAATATGCGGATATGGCAAGCAGGATCCTGATGGACTTCAGCATAACTACGGGCGAAAAGGTCTCATCATAGTCAATACCATGAATCTGACGGAATCCTTTCGCCACAAGTCGTGCCTTATACGTGTGCACGTTGCCATCCATGTCGGTCTTCTTCTTGAAGATCCACTTACATCCGATGGGTTTTATCCCTTCAGATGCATAAACCAGAGTCCATACTTGGTTGTCTGACATGGATTGCATCTCGGACTTCATAGCCTCGCGCCATTTCTCGGAGTCCGGACTCGCCACAGCCTCTGGGTATGTGGTAGGCTCGTCATGTTCCAATAACATGAGCTCCTCATTCCCAATTACGAGAAATCCGTATCTCACAGGCTCTTGGCGAATCCTACCTGATATCTCACATGCTCTTGGCGAATCCTGCCTGATCTCCGAGGTTCACTCGTCGAAGGTTGAATCACAACTGGCAGTGAAACAGGTTGACGTCTTCAACTTGTTCACTCGGCTCAGCGTCTACTTGTTGCTCTCAAACTTCCTCAAGTTCGATCCTACTCCCACTAACTCTTTTGAAGACGATTTCTCGCTCCATAAAAGTCGCATTCCTGGCAATGAACACCTTGTTCTCTGCCGGAATGTAGAAGTAGTAACCCTTAGTTTCCTTAGGGTAGCCTACAAATAAACACTTATCAGATTTGGAGGATAACTTATCAGTCATCTGACGCTTCACATAAGCGTCGCAACCCCAAATTCTGACAAAGGACAACGCGGGACGCTTCCCCGTCCATATCTCATATGGCGTCGTTTCAGCTGCCTTCGTTGGACTTCTATTCAGCAGGTATGCAGCGGTCTCTAAAGCATAGCCCCAAAAGGACTTCGGAAGATCTGTCTGATTCATCATTTACCGAACCATGTCTAACAGTGTTCGGTTCCTCCGTTCAGACACGTCATTCCATTGTGGCGTTCCAGGAGGAGTTAATTGTGATACAATACCACAATCAACCAGATAGTCAGTGAACTCTTGGCTCATATCCTCGCCACCACGATCCGATCGAAGTGTCTTGATCGTCTTGCCAAGCTGATATTGTACTTCGTTTCTGAAAGCCTTGAACATTTCAAGTGTTTCAGACTTATGTCTCATCAAATGGACATAACCGTATCGACTGAAATCATCAGTGAACGTAAGAAATACAGATAACCTCCTCTAGCTGGACAGCTCATTGGTCTGCATACATCACTATGTATGAGGGCCAATAATTCCGTCGCTCTCCGTCCTTTCCCCTTGAAAAGATGCTTTGTCATCTTGCCCATCAAACAATACTCGCAAGATTCAAGAGACTCAAAATCAAATGAATCTAGAAGACCTTCATGATGAAGCTTCTGAATACGTTTCTCGTTTATATGGCCTAGACAACAATGCTAGAGGAAGGTCGGGTTTAAGTCGTTCGGCTTAAACCGTTTGGTACAAACGTTATAGATTGACCTGTATCTAGACGGTTCGTCATCCAAAAACATAAAGGTCATTCAACTGGTAACCTTTACCAAATCACCTCTATAAATGGACAGACATTTGTTCTCAATAACAAATCTGAAACCATCCGAGTCTAAGCATGGAATCGACATAATGTTCTTGCTGACGGCATGAACATAATAGCAATCATGCAACTCCAATACATGTCCATAAGGTAAAGTCAGATCGTAAGTCCCGATGGCTAATGCAACAACCTTTGCTCCATTCCCAACGCGGAGATCTTCCTCTCCTTTTGCCAACTGTCTACTTCCTCGCAACCCTTGCACATTTCCATAAATGTGCGAGGCACTTCCGTAAGCCTCTATAACGAAGACACCCGAAGTCGATGCTTCTATAAGCTTCTTCTTCTCTTGATCTTCCAGGTAGAGTCTACAATTTCTGTACCAATGCCCAACGGCATGACAAAAATAACTCTCTTTCTTTTTGGACTTAGGCTTAGATTCAATGACAACGCTTGTCACTTTCCTCTTGCCCTTGCTCTTTGAACGCTTCCTTTCGCTGGAACTCTTTCCAACAATTACCATATCACTCTTTCTGTG